TGTATATATATAAATTTTTATATATATATATGCACATATATATATTTATATATGCATATATATATATATATGTAATATACATAGATATATATAAATTAAATTATATACGTATATATATATATTTCTGTATATATATATATAGTATGTATATAATTTATAAAACGTATATATATATATACACTATATATACATACACACACATATATAGATATACATATATTTATAAATATATAGAAGCACACATATATTTATACAAACACACACACAGACATTTATATATATATATAAATCTATGGATATACATAAATATATATTTATATTATATGCATATACATATTTACACATATGTATACATATAATATATAAAAATAAATGAATATATATATATGTATATATATAAGCACGCATATATATAAATACACACACACACATATATATATACATTTATATGTATATTTATATAAATATATATATGTATGTATATATATATATGTATCATTAACATATAAATATATATATAGTATAAATATAAATTATGTATGTATATATATGTGTGTATAAATATATTTGTGCGTGTTCCCCATATTGTAAGCATCTCGTTGGGTTCACATGACGAATAGAACACCACTGTTTGCTAGTTCACACCGGGATATCAAGCAGCACTGATATGGCCCTATCTTTCCTATCACAATGTCGACACACACCCGTGAGCTCGACATCGCAATGGTCCTTGATGTTGTACATTCTTGCACGTGTTGCTTCTAGGTATGAAGTCGCCATAGCTGGAAGCATACACAGTGTTTGGTGCTCAAGGAGATCAGCTGCAGCCATACACTTTAATTTAATCTATACCTACTATATACATTGTACTGTCTTGCCATTGCATGCGCCGCCCCCCGTCGAACGCGCACGTCACATACATTCTCTCAAATCGTTTCAACGGCCAAGGCGTTGACTAAGGGGAAGCATCCCTGCCACCCAAAACAACCCTGCGATTGGATACGATCTCTAGAAAACCTGACCCACGACCAACACGTGCGTACCCAGGAACCTCGTGATACTATTTAAATGGCTTGTTTTGTGCGCTCACCGCACATACCATGACCTTACAGACATTCCGGACAGTTCCCAAGCATCCGTTGAAACGTTTTGGCATAACGTGTATGTAGACGAACGCCCGTGAAATATGCATACACCCACAAACACAGTGGACCTATGCACTGCGTGTAGGTAAGCCAGTCCACAGTCTCAGCTCTGGGACACGAGCAGCCTTGGGGTGGGTGGCACAGTACAGTCTTACTACTACCTATGTAATATCTATCTTTGCTAGGCACACCGCACAGTGCGTACCTCTCGCCCGTACGCCCATGCCGCACCCAAGCACACCCGCATCACCCCTTACGCCGTGAACTTATCGTCGTTGTTGAAACTTGAATTCCGTTTGCTGGCCTCTGAGTGCACCTGATACGACAGACCGGCTTCGTACTGACAGATGACCTTCCACTTCTTAGCAATGTCCTCCTGAATCTTTCGTTGGTCCCCTGACTTGGTCCACAGAGCGATCCTGTTCTGAGCCTTGCGGGGCGAACACACACAGCCGCACACTTCTGATTCGCTGTCTGTTAAAACTTGTCCAATCACAGCCAGCATCTGCGTTTAGGGGTATAACAAAATGAGCCGCGCGCCGTTGAGGAAGAGATCCAGACCGACAGGACACAACACGCTAGGTCTGGAAGACACCAGGTGTAAGTGCGATATTCGCTCTAGAGTATATCCGTAAATCGCGTCCACAGTCGGAATATACCAGCAAACATACAAGGTACACAGTGCTCACAACAGTCCCACAGACACAAGCCAGACAAGCCTGTGTTCATATATTGCCACCACAATACACAAAATGGGAGGACTACAGTCGGTGGATGAGTATACAGACCAATACCGTGAGCATCAAAGAGTATATAAAAGTCGTAGGTGTATAGTGCAACTATACGGTGATGTACGAGCATTTCTACGCGCACTGATTCCACAAAATCAGATACTCGATCCACCGTAGCGTCATTGCTGTTATAATTGTGCACTATGATATATCCAGATCACTCAGAACTCCATCGTCCTGAAACACTCTATCCGCCACAACAGCATAGTCCCACTTCTGACATATATATATATATATAAATAAATAAATATATGACACTTTGTGGTTACCTAGATAAGACATGTGTGCACTGGCTATTGGGTTGCGCGAAGGCCCACGCATATGAGAGTGATGAGCACCGATTGTATCATAATTCATCTGCGTTCAATATGGCGTTCAGAACACCTCGAATGTGCTGTTTTCTGGCCATAACCCAAAAAACGTTAATATAAAAACTGATATGTGTAAGTGTATATGATGTATATGTATATACCCACAACATACATTCATACCCACAACAAACCTACCGTATCAATCCACATCCTGTCCAATACCCCGTCCTTGCCCGATTGGACGGGGGTGGAGATGATCCACTTGCCGCCATGCAAGTTCTCGGGGTCCTCCCACATGGGCTTAACACCCTCTTTGAAGAAGTGGAAGTTAGATCCCGCCGGCAACTGTGAGGCTTTGGCCATGTTGTTTATGACTCTGTTGGAAGAGATGATGTGTAGGTATAAGTGAGCAGGTATATGCCTTAGGCGTACAGACCTTCAAATAATAGACATAAATCTGGTTAGTCGGATATCAGAGAGTGTACAGGAAGATGCCAGTACAGATAAAAACGTTCAGAAATTCAATATTTTAATCTCCAGTCGTTCGATATACACATTCACCCGAAGTTCATATGTTGATATAATCTCAAATCATCGATATATATAAACATATTCACTCAAAGTCGTTCAATATACACATTCACCCGAAGTTCACATGTTGATATTATCTCACAGTCATGAGATATATATATATATATATTCATTCGAAATATAAATCGTACAAGGAAGTGGCGTATTTGTGCTCTACGCTTGTAGGCCATATTGTCACTCAGCGTCGTAACAGGTGTCGGACTACTCGGCATTCTCAATAGTTTTTAGGGTTCATGGTATCTCAATAGTTATCTATACAACGGATTTACCCGTGCAGGATTTAAGCGTAGTATTTTGCCTATACCTATCCGAGCATTTCTACTATACACGAATGCATGTGTCCTTTTTAATCGGTGTGGGCCAATTTGCTACTACGGGGATACCCCATGTCTGTAACCAAAAAGGCACAAGTTTCTTTGTCTCCAGGGCTCGGTAGCGCTGCAACAACACGCTATCAAAGAAAACTTTTGAAAATCGGGGAATAGAGCCCATCGATCGCAGCTTTGTGATATCCACGTAGGAGTGATTAGGCACAATTTATAACGAATAAGCTCTACTTGGATTATTAATACATTGTACCACACAGAATAGCGGGCGTTCATTTGCCTTGCGAATGCTTCGCAGGTCATCACTTTGAGTCTCTCGTTAATATTTTAACGTTTGTAAAAATAGCAGCGCATCTTTCTGACTACATACTGACGCACGTAGTTTTTCAACCTCATGATTTAACTTGGAAACATTTTCAAAATAGCAACGCATTCACAACATGATCATGCAGCAAAATAGCGTATCTGTGTAAATATATATACACTTACATTTACTTTATATATATATATATTTAGGACATACCCCCAGAATTCTTCTATTGTGGTGATTGTGTAGACTGTCTTCAGCGTTGCCATCCAGTTGGCGGCTTCCACCTTATGTTTAGGAATATCAAACCTACAACGATACAGAATACAGTACGAATCAGTCGCAACGAAACAGAAATAATATATCAAAAGATACACTCGTGAGAAAAACTGAAGGTTCACCACGTACACAGATAACGAAGTCAGGTTGGACCTGAGGAATAATAGGCAGATGGTTATATTTGAAAAATTAATAGCGTAGGAAGTCATATTACAAGTATATATATATATATACTGCATATGTATGTATGTATATATATATGTGGTGTTGGAAGTCCTAATACGAGTATATATATATATATATATATATGAGTATACATATAAGACAAAACATACATATACACACGCACACATTATATATATATATATATATATACATTATCAATTGAACGTGATACAGAAGGCTGACACGTAAACACAAGTGGATAGTATGGGGCAATGCAACGACAAAAGAATACGAGTTCAAGTTTGATTCCAAGCCAAAAGTATGCGCCGCAAAACGCGATGTACACATCAAGCAATGCAAAGCTATCCGATAGGAACGAATGTGGACGGAAAATGCGCAACGCCATTGACGACTGTCACCAAACTTACCAATTGTGAAATCAAACATAGACATATGCACTTTGATACGGTATGTATTTGATTGCACGGTTAAGTGTCACGTGCATATCTCTCCTATATATATCGAGAGATATATCTCGTTTGTACGCATATATTTATATTATTTTGACTCGTATACATCCAAACATACCATAATACCCATCTGGCGCTCAAGGGGTGTGATACTGTAAAGTTGTCTTTATCATCGAACACGGTATTTTCTCCGCCAGTAGTTTTCTCTGTGGGACTATTCTTAGTAACTGTCTCTTCTGCCATGATTGCTTATAGTATAATATATAACGTAGTCGTGTATTGGGATGATACGTACCTGCTTTCGTTATGTCTCCTAATATCTTGAAATGATAGTTTAATATTTAAAATATGTGAGGTGTGTGCACGAGCATATTTAGCTGAAATCGCACACTCCAGTCGGCGTGAAAAACCGCGTGTAACATTGCCGACTTCATATTCCTAATTCCAAAAAAACCATACACAATTCGTTATTTAATATAAAATATCTAGTTTGCGACATGATAATTATTCATATTTCAAAATTAAATATCGGAATTATAATTTCTTTTAATAAAAAACAATCTATAAATAACCCTTTTTATATGTACTAAATATATAAATTGACGAAGACAGCCACAAGATGAGACCTGAAAACAAAATTGTTTTCGGTCTCTTGACAACAATGTTCGTTCATAGCCTCCTCCTAATTTTGTTTGAAAACATCCAGGGGAGCCTATGGTACATTCAAATTTCGAAACCCTAAAAAAAATAAAATGGGGTTTAATCTCCAAACTTTTGTACTGGTCTAAATATAAAAATTCGTGCACTGGTATTTATATATCTGTTTCAGTGTTTCTGAGCCAATATCGTATTTATGGGACTCTATTATAACACTTTGTGTCGGATTTTAGACGGCTATTTTCACTGCCATCAAAGAAAACAGCACATTCCACTTCCTAAGAAGCCCGCCCAAAAAGAACTGAAGAGACACTTATTTGTCCAAACTACGGGATTGGAAATACGACACTTCGTACTGTTTCCCTGCCCTCCAATCCCGCCTTTTGAATTTAGAGCGTATTTATTGGCCACTATATTTACTCCCGTATTTATATTTGTCAAAAATGTTTTTTTTATAATAAAACAATACCATTTTTTTTTTTGGGACGCCTATGTTTTGACAGTTCCCACCCCATTTCTTGCCCACAAAGTTTTGTGGTTTTCAAGTTAAAAAACAAACACACGGGGTCCAAGCCCCAAATGTCCCAGAATACGAAAACAAGTATGAATTCTATTTTTAGATTTCTAATTTTGCCCTAAATGTGTGTGTGTTTTCGGGCTAGGGCCCTTCTCCAGTCGAGTGGGGACGGGGAGGGTGTGTCCCAAACACCGGCTGTTTGGATTTTTGTACTTTTGGTATTTGGTGCGTGCGTCCGGCTGTCTCTGCTCTTTTACCCTACGAGTTCCAATCTGTCATTATTTTGTCAAGCGAATTGAAGTCTCTATTGTTTCCGTAGCCATTACATACGTACGTACATCCATACAAATAACGGAACAGGTGTGCTGGTTTAAAGCATTTTTACAGATACACCCACCCTTAACCCCGCTGTTTGTGACCACCTCCTGATTAACATGACCGACACTCTCAAGTTCGAGCCTACATGGTGTGTACTGAAAACCAGAATCATGCTAGTTGTGGAAATGTCACATTTTCAAGCACAGCCTAAACGCGCTTTTCAACTGTCATTGGCTCACTATTGCTGATACAATACAAACAAGCTTATATAATATCAAATATGAAACACTAGCACTCATATATATACAAGCTCGGACGATTGATATCAAGTGTATAATCGTCTATACACGTGTTAATGTGCAGCATACTTCGAGAAAAGCTCACTTGGATGTATATCTCAAGTGAATACGCATACGTACACGTATACAAAACACACATGTGCACACCACCATATAAATACACACGCACGCGCGCGCGCACACACAAACGAGTATATATATATATATATATATATATGTGTGTGTATGTCTGTATATGTATATATTTCGATATAT